TTCTGGTTTTATCCTCATGATAAGTAAGATGTTTGCTGTAGCTTCAAGCTTCACACACATATATGGCAATCTTCAGATGAAGAGAGGCTGGCCCTCTCCAAGATTTTCTCCCAAGATTGATGAAACTTGTTTTCTAAAAACCCTCAGCAAATTTCCTTCCCATCTTATCAGCCTAGTTGAGGTTACATGTCCATTTCTGACCAGCCCCTATGGCCTGAGGTATGCCATGTACTGATTTGTTCAGAAACCTCAGAACTAAGCCAATCACTGTCTAGAGGATAAGAGTGCATGGAGATCAATAAGCTTTTCCCTGGAGCTGTGGTGAGATTATCTGTTCCTGAGGCAAGGCGGCTACTGGAGAAGGGCGAATACCTGCTTGATAATTCAGATACTCATGGGTATTAGGGTCTTAGCATCCTGAGTGGAGCATGGTTTCTGGAGTCAGACAGACCTGAGCTGGTGTCCTCTCTCCACCACTGGGTGGTGTGACTTTACATAACAAGCCTCAGTGTCCAAATGGAGATGATACTGATCATTATCTTTTGTACTGTTGTGAGATGTAAATGAGTTAACATAGGAAAGGCATTTAGAATACTGCCTGAACCACCGTAAACACTCAGCAAATATTAGCTTTAAATTTGTACTCAAATATGGGAGGGAGTTGGAGCTTTATCTTGTAGAGCCTGACACTCCTAGTGAAGGTCTTTGTTATCTTGACAGCTATATGATTTCCTACTACTTAAATAATAATAAAAAATTGTACTCAATTGATGCTGATGACAACAGGAAAGATAAATGTGAATTAGTTGAGCAGTTGGGACAGAAATCACATGGCCCGCAAAGCTGAGAATATTATCTTCCCTTTACAGAAGTTTGCCAACTCCTTAGAGGACCAGAAAAATGTCTTCTAATATAAAACACCTAATCATGTTAAGGCTGGTCATGGCGGCTCACTTCTGTAATCCTAGCACTTTGGGAGGCCGAGATGGACAGATCTGAGGTCAGGAGTTCGAGACCAGCCTGGCCAGTATGGTGAAACCCCATCTCTACTCAAAAAACAAAAATTAGCTGGGCATGGTAGCAGTCTCGTGTAATCCCAGCTACTTGGGAGGCTGAGGCAGGAGAATGGCTTGAACTCAGGAGGCAGGGGCTACAGTGAGCTGAGATTGCACCACTGCACTCCAGCCTGGGTAACACAGTGAAATTCTGTCTCAAAAAAAAAAAAAAAAAAAAAAGGATAAAATACATTTTTATAAAATAGTTATTTATTCATTTTGAGACAGAGTCTCACTCTGTCACCCAGCTGCTGGAGTGCGGTAGCTGTATCTCAGCTCACTGCAACCTCTGCCACCTGGGTTCAAGCGATTCTCCTGCCTCAGCCTCCCAAGTATCTGGGATTACAGGCGTCTGCCACCGCACCTGGCTAATTTTTGTAGTTTTAGTAGAGACGGGATTTCACCATCGTGGCCAGGCTGGTCTTGAACTCCCGACCTCGTGATCCACCCACCTCGGCATCCCAAAGTGCTAGGATTACAGGTGTGAGCCACCACGCCCGGCCATAAAATAGTTTTAATGCATAGCTGAACTTTAGGCAAAATAAAGAAATCTGTAAATGTCCAGAAATAACAAGAAAGTACACACCTACACACAAAAAGAGTGAGAAAAGTTGAACAAGCACACAAATATGACAAGTATTTATTGAGAGCCAAATGTATGTCAGGCACATATTGCTTTGTGCCTGGGGAACAGGGGCAATAAGGTAGAAAACAAAACACATATGGGATTGACCTCATAGATCTTAAAGTCCAGTGAGGTAAACAAGTTTCATAAGAAATAAATGTATATTTAAGTACTTTGAAAAGTACTGTGAAGAAAAAAAACAAACCACCCTAACAAGTGACACCTGCTTTAAAATTATGCGACCAGAAAAGGACTCCAGAGATAGCCCCACTGGAGCTCAGGAAGAGTTAATATGTTCAAGAAAATGCAGGAGGGTATTTCTTTCAGGTAGATGCCTAGGCTCTGCCTACTTTGCATGTTTCTATCTGACTACATAAGGCAAAAATTTATAGAAATATAATCATGCCTTTGCTGCAAAACGAGAAATAGATAGACAAGAAGAAATTTCCATCTCATCGAATGAGCATTTTGATGCTATAGTAATTGTTTCAATTTAAAACATTCATTTCTTCTTCCTTTCTTTCTTTTTTCTCTTTTCTTTTTTTTTTTTTCCTGTTGCCCAGGTTGGAGTACAGTTCACAATCAGCTCACTGTAACCTCAAACTCCTGAGTTCAAAGGATTCTCTTGCCTCAACCTCCTGAGTAGCTGGAAATACAGGCACACACTGCCAAAGCTCGCTAATTTTCAAATTTTTGTACAGATGGGATCTCACTATGTTGCTTAGGCTGGTCTCGAACTTGTGGCCTCAAACAATCCTCCTGCTTCAGCCTCCCAAAGTGCTAGGATTAGAAGAGTGAGCCACCACACCTGGTTTATATTTTCAATAGTTTTAATAAACATAAAATATGTTTCTACACATTTTCAATAGTTTTATAACAACAAAGTCCCTTTGAGGCAGAGGATAGACTTTTTAAATTACTGAGACATGGTCTCACTCTTATCACCAAGGCTGGAGGGCATTGCATGATCATTGTTCACTGCAGCCTCAACCTCCTGGGCTCACGTGATCCCCCCACCTCAGCCTCCCAAGTAGGTGGGACCACAAATATGTGACACCATGCCCAGCTTTATTTATTTATTTATTTAGACATGGTGGTCTCACTACACTGTACTGGCTGGTCTCAAACTCTTGGTTTCAAGCAATCTTCTGGTCTCAGCTTCCCGAAGTGCTGGGATTACAGGCATGAGCCGCCACCACACCTGACTAGAGAAAGGACTTTTAACAACAAACGAAAAGTACTTTTTATTCTAGGGTTGAATTTAGGAGCCTGTATAAAGTAAAGGTGGGTAGATGAGACTGAGTGCTTACAGAAAGCTAGCCTTGTGTGCTGCACTTGATACTATTACAGGTTTCTTGAAAGATCTGGGAAAAAAATGTTTAAAATTGCAACTGGAAGACATTTGCTAGACTAGAAATGGAGAGTCCTAAGCACTCAGGAATTTGGCAAATGGCTGTTGGTTGGGTTTTTATTTTGATTTTTTGGATTTAAGATACCATCGAACTCTAGTTTAGTTCTTTCTGAATTGAAGACGATGAATTGATGGGTATGTTTTGTATTAGTAAAAGCTTATTAATTTATATTTTACATTAACAAAATCCATAGAGGGAAATTCTACTTTGCCTTTGTAACTCATATGTCAGCTTGGGTATTCCTGCCTTTTAATAAAAATGTAATTAATGACATTCCCCAAGAATAGTTGAGAATTCTCAGGTGGCTCATTTTTCATGGTCATCTCTGCTGTTGCCTGGCATGAACTGGGTATGTTTATGAATCATCTTCCATTTCTCATGGGCTCCATACCAACTTGATCCAGACCAGGCCAAGGCCCTTTCTTCAGTTGTCCTAAATTTAGAATCAAACAACAAAAAGAGAGAGCACTTGCCTCAGACTGCCTACCACTCATAGGACTTGCCTTTACCTCCCACGCCTGAATGCCCAGTCTTTCAATGGGTCATCCTCTACCCTGTTAACTGAAGTTTGCTGTGCTTATTTTTCTCATCATTTTAAGTCTTCCATTTATTGTAATCTAGGAGAAAATGAAGTCACTGAATTTGTTCATTCATTATGCTGAGTTTAGTACACAAATTCTAAGCAATATTTCACAGACCTGGCTTTTTCTTGGTGCAATAAATATGGGCTTTTGTAAACTGTTTTTCTCTTTTTGGTCTCACAGCTATGTTTTGGATGGTTAAAGCTGCTAAAAGTCTAAATCCTCAATTACTGGTTATTTGTTGGTTTAGTTGTTATATCTGTACTGGGAGGTAGCATAGGGCAGTAAAAAGAACAATGAAGCTCTAGATACTCTCTCCTCAATCAGAAAGATAGAGCTTGGTAGAAAGACCACAGCCTAGTTACCTAACCTATATGAGTCTTGTTTTTATTGTGCATAAACTGGATTTGATAATAATAGTTATTTCACAGGGATTTGCAAAGATTGAATGTGATCCTAAGTATAAAATAATGTTTTATATTGTGCCATATAAATATTAGTTGTTGTTTTTTTCTTTTTCGAGACGAAGTCTAGCTCTGTCACCCAGGCACCCAGGCACCCAGGCTGGAGTGCAGTGGCATGATCTCAGCTCACTGCAACCACCGCCTCCCGGGTTCAAGCTATTCTCCTGCCTCAGCCTCCCAAGTAGCCGTGATTACAGGCGCCCACCACCATGCCTGGCTAATTTTGTATTCCTAGTAGAGATGGGGTTTCAGTATGTTGGCCAGGCTTGTCTCGAACTCCTGACCTCAGGCGATCTGCCTGCCTCGGCCTCCCAAAGTGCTGGGATTATAGGCATGAGCCACCACTCCTGGCTAAATGTTAGTTTTTTATCAGTAACCTCTCATTTCTTTTACCCAGGTATGTTCTTTTGTTCATTGCCCCTAAGCAAGACTCTCTACATTGCCTGCATCAGTTTCACACTCTTATCAAGGATGTATATGTGCCTGCATTCTCTTTTCTATAGTTAGTCATCATTTCATTAGACAGATATTTAAGAATTCCGGCCGGGCGCGGTGGCTCACGCCTGTAATCCCAGCACTTTGGGAGGCCGAGGCGGACGGATCACAAGGTCAGGAGATAGAGACCATCCTGGCTAATACGGTGAAACCCCGTCTCTACTAAAAATACAAAAAATTAGCCAGGCATGGTGGTGGGCGCCTGTAGTCCCAGCTACTTGGGAGGCTGAGGCAGGAGAATGGCGTGAACCCGGGAGGTGGAGCTTGCCTGAGCTGAGATCCCGCCACTGCACTCCAGCCTGGGCGACAGAACGGGACTCTGTCTCAAAAAAAAAAAAAAAAAAAAGAAAGATATTTAAGAATTCACATTTATATTACAACATTTAATTTGAAAAAAACTTTTTGAAGGAAAGGAAAGTATAATCAGAAATTCATCCATAATCTTAAAGCCCTGGGTTTCACCAGTCTGTGCCATATGTGTTCACATTAACTCTCCATTCTGCATGAGTTGTACTAATGTGGGTGCTGAAGGAGATTAAACCTCCCCCCTCAAATCAGTAGCTTAATGCAAATGAAATTTGATTCTCAAACACAGTAGGTGTAATTGGTAGAAGGCATTGCACTCCACGGTCATATAAGGATCCATGCTGAGGGAAGGTTGCCATCTTCTGCACATGGTTTCTAAACCATCTGAGGTCTCTCTGAATGACAATATCCAACTGTCAATGGGGTAAAAGAGGCACTGGACATCATGTGGAAGGTTTTTATGGTCCAGGCCCAGAAGTGTCCATCACATCTGTCCATATACCATTCTCAGAACTGTGACTGGGCATCTAACTACAAGGATGGCTGGAAAATGCATAGCTGTGTGGCCAAGAGAAAAGGAAAATAGGATTGTTGAACAACTAATGAGGTTCTGCCATGGCCTTCTTTTTAGGGTGCCAAATATCTGCTTTCCTGTCTTTCCCACACATAGAAGACACTCATTCCTACCCCAGGGTCTCATACCATTATTGCATCCAGTCCAAAGTCCAAGGGGGAATAGACTATCCTTTCTATCAGATCCAGATAGTTCAGCTTCTGGTTTGGTATTCTTGGATAAAAAGGCGAATTTTCTGCCTCCCATGTTGAGGTAGAAAATGTTTCTGTTCTACCTCTTGTCATTGTAGAACAGCGAAGTTGAAGAAAAAATAAAATCAAACGAAGACACCTTCTATTCAAAAAAGAGAAGACAGGCTGGCAAGCAGCAGTCCCTAGAGTATAACCATAAGGAAATCCTGATTAGCAACTATTGAGAAGCTTCCTACACTGGGAATGGGGAAATTCCTTAAGTAGCCTCTAAATCTACTCTCTTTTCCATCATTATTTGTGGTGACTCCATCCTCTGGAAGACTCCCTGGCTGTCACCTCTCAAGTGGCTGTTAAGAAGTGTGCTCTTCTTGCGGTCTTTGGCTTCATAACTCATTCTGCAAGAGTAAAGGCGGAAGCCAATGGGTCTTTCAGGTTTAAGGTCAGTCATTTGCTGACTCTGGAGCTGTGGAAGAAAAAATAAATCCTTTGGTTCATGCACACAATGTGACAGCTTGACATAAGTAAAATACATGAACAAAAGGATTAATGAAGAAGTGAAAGAAGGAAGAAGTATGCATTAGGCACAACATCATTTAACAACTAAAAAAACACTGGAATACATTAAACTTGTTCATTCAGTACGTATTGGCTGAGTGCCTACTAAGTGTCAAGCACAGGGCCAGATGTGGACGATACAGTGGCAACACACAGAAAAAAAGTTAAAGGAAAAACAAAATTGGGTAATAAATTTGTTATTGGTTTTAGCAAATCCAAAAAATTCGAGAAAATAGTGCAGTGTTTGCCAAATCTAAAACTCTTTCACCCTCACTGAGTCTTAAATTAGGAATGCACAAAAGCAGAATTACTAGAAAAATCAAAGTTTTATGGGTGTGTTCCCTTAAGTAATAGCCCTATATTAGAAAGTTGGTAGAGGTGGCCTGCGCATTTTAAATAATCAACCTGCACCTTTACCCCCTCCCCCAAATTCTAGCCAAATAAAGTATAAAATAAGGCAGAACTCAGCATGTTACATCAGCTTACCAGGAATGAAGTCAACGCTGATTGGAAAAGTGTCAAGCAATAAAGAAGAGTTTGGATTTACTTTAACACAGCCTTCATGTCACTCGAAACTTAATTTCAGCCAACTCTACTTCTGAAACCAACCTCTTATGCAATGATCTTGTCTGGGTCCAGGCCAAGGCTTACTTCTATTGCATAGCTACTCTTACCCTTCTTAGTTTTTACTCTGAAGAACTTTCCTGTCTGGGTCAGAGTTTCTTCCAGTAGGCATCAGATTCTGCAAATATTTATCTCATGTTAATCAAGACCCCCTCTAGATGTTGCCATTTAACTTTAACGAGTTTGACATAAAGAGAGTGATTTAAATGCAGTTGTAACTTACTCCTAAGTAGGGCCTGATATAGCTTTTAAGCGATACATCTCTCCAGTCACACATAATTATGAATGAATTCTAACTCACTGCAAGTACTACAGTGTTCCTGAAGGTAAATAAACCATGTCAGCTATGTGAAGCTTGGAAATTTTTCTTTAAAACATAGTACCCAAAAATGTTACCAGTTTGCCTTTGATTACTGCTATATCCCCCAGGAAATATGATCAAAAGGACATCTGTTCTATGTATCAAAATTCAGACATCTGCTTCATTCTTTTCCTTTTATGGTATGTATAACTGTCACATCTGACTACCAGTTTCCCTGCTGTCAGAAAGAAACAATTAAATGGGAGATGCTGTGGACAAAGGGATTTTAAAAAATCCATTGGCCACAGAGAACTAGAACTGAAGAATCGGAAGAGAAGATTAATTTTATTTCTTATTACTAAGTTTCTTATTTTCAGAGCACTTAAAGGGACATATCAATAGGGGGAAAAGTATATGAATTAATGGCAAGATTCTTGAGGACTTTCTCACAAAGATAATTAAGGTGTCACTCTAAGGAAACAACGAGAGATACCACAAATAATATATATTTTTATTATAGTATTACTTATAGTAAACTTGGATCCAATTTCAATGTTCTACAATAGAGGAATGACTAATAAACAACAATACATACAAGTGTTAGACAAGTATTCAGGCATTAAAAATCATGTTTTATAAAACAGTAATGACATGAAAAGGCTTGTAATATATTGGTGCAAAAACAGATGAAAAACTATATTCAGTATAATCTCAACTATTAGCCCTAAATGTTGATGTGATCTTGGATTAGTTTTTTTTGCATTTTCAAATTTTCTAATGAGAATTGTGATTATGCTACTTCTATAGTGAGGAAAAATTACCCTCTATAATAGTGAAAAAATAAGAACCGTAATCTTCTATCTTCCACGTTTTCCAAATACAATGAACACATTATACTTTTACAGTGGAAGAAAAGAAACTCCTATCTTGAAAAGTAGTAAATACATCAGAATGAGGCAGACATCAATCATGAATTTACAAAATTATGTCATCAAGTATAAGTTCAGTTCATTTTTAGTTTTGAAATTATTTATCAAAATTAAATAGTTTGACTTATTTTTATTAGAAATGTGATTTTAAGTATTTAACATTGCTTTTTTAAAAATTATCTTCTAGTTTTTCATAACATCTGAGGAGCTGCTAGGGAAATTTTGCACACCAAATTTCATGTGTTGAAATGTGAACATGCTCACCACAGACCAAGGGTTTCCAAGCTGCTGTTTCATCTCTTACTTATGGAAAATATGCTCATGTAATTATGAACCAATCAGCTTTTCATTGTGTGAAAAGCAAATGTAGATAGTGAAATTGATATTTTAGCTTTATTGTTGTCTTAAATATATCTGGGCTTAAAAAATCATGGATGACTTTTCCCCACTATACCAAAGAATGAGTTGCAAATAAATAATTCAGTAGTAAAGTTCAAAGAAACGTTGAAAGCATTTTGAGTTTCCTACTGTCTTACCAATATGTTTCTTTTTACAACAACCATGTCCCATGTATATCTGTTTAGGATCTTAAGTTGCTAATAATCTACTCTGAATAATTCCTTAAGAAAACATTAAAAGGACAATATCTATACCAAGGGAATAAAACCAGAAGTAGTAGAAACTATTAAAACTGATGTAGCTTCTTAAGAATGAGTGCAAGCTCAGACACTGAAATATGTATCATTGAGATAATACCAAAGATGGTCAACCTTTTCCTGTGAAGTTATAGTAAAGTATATTACGAGTACTTAGTATATTAGAGAAATGTTAGAATGAGATTGTACCAGGTTCAGAATTCCTCATCCAAGAAGACCAGACAAAATTCAAGGTTTTTAGAGAGGGATTATCCTGAATGATATCACCAGCAAGTGGGTTTATAAACAAAGACAGAGCTTGGCAGGTTGCACTGGATCCTTCAAACCAGTTTCTCTGGAAAAATGTCAATTACTCAATAAACCCTCAGTTACCACTGAGGTAAATCAACTTGGGAATACAGTAGAGAACTCTGGGGGATAAATCATGCAGGGTTACACACTGGGTCCACAGTTCACAGAACATGATTAGATTTAAGACAATAGAAGATAGGGACATTTTATGAACTAGTTTATTGAATCCTTTTGAGACTATCACTGTGTGGCAGTTCCTAGAAGGCTTAGAAAAATTAATCTTTAAGAGGTAAACAAATTAACTTTGAACTAAGAAAACAACAACAAAACAACAAACTTTGAATTAGGAAACATCTGCAAAGAAAAGCCCAAGAATTAAAGAAGCACACAGTAGAAGTGTCAGTTTTATTTTATAAGTTTCTTGTTAATTTTCAGACTCTTTTGTAGGGAAAAAAAAAAATGTGTTCATGCTTGCCCCAGGCTTCACTGTATAAAAGCTGCTTGTTCTCAACTTCCAAAAATGAATTTCTGATTGACATTAATGATTCTGTTAAATCTCTATATAAAGCAAAGGCAATTGGAAACATTTGCATTAAAACTGCCAAAATTGGAAATACTTGCATTTAAACTTCCAAAGCCAGTTGTGTTCCATTACTGTTATTGTTTGTTTGTTCATTTGTTTTCCCCCTAAGAATTAAGAAACTATCCCACAAAATGCAAGAGGCCTCTAGTGTAAGTAGTTTCCAGTTTTCCTGTTACTCAAGTCAGATCAGCTAAAGGATATTCAACCTCTCCCCTGCAGGCCATTTACTTTCAAGAAGAAAGAGAGGAAGGGAGGAAGGAAGGTAAAAATCTCCTCCAATCACATCAAGTCTTTTTCTTAAAAGCTTCAAATTAGCCAGGCTTGGTGGTTCACACCTGTAATCCCAGCACTTTGGGAGGCTGAGGTGGGCGGATCACAAGGTCAGGAGATCGAGACCCTCCTGGCCAACATGGTGAAACTCTGTATCTACCAAAAATACAAAAGTTAGCTAGGTGTGGTGGCATGCACCTGTAGTCCCAGCTACTGGGGAGGCTGAGGCAGCAGAATCACTTGAACCTGGGAGGCGGAGGTTGGAGTGAGCCGAGATCAAAAAGATACCAAGCCATGAGGTTCAACATGATTTTAGCATACATTCTGTTTTTAGAAGCACCTGAATCACAGGATAGAATCAGAAACGTTGGCATGACCCAACACACATACACACACACACACACACACACAAAAAAAAAACAAACAAAAAAACACAGCTTTCTGATCAGCAGTTTTTGGAAATGGAATATTGCTGTGGAAGTGGAAAGGGGATTTTCCTATTATTAGGGACCTACAAAATGGTAGGCACTAACACAAACATCTGACTTTCATTACACAAATCCTCAGAAATCTCTGCAGTATGCCTGTTCCTACAGCACAGATGAGATATTAATTCACTATGGTTGTCATCTATCCAAGGTTATGTAATTTGTGCCAAGTGATACAGCAAAATTGGAATGCAGGTCTCTAATCTCTAAGTCCATAGTTTCCCTCCTATACTGCATTGCCTCCCCTAGGAAATTTCTTCCTCGATGACAATATCATAAGGAAAGTGAAACTATTGCTTGCCACTTCTGAGTTAGTATCAGCGTTTTTTCCATCCACCAGCATGGATAATGCAGAGATGCCACCAATTCTGTTGTTGAGTAGAAATAATCTTAAGTTTGGTCTCCATCTTCCTAGCCACCCTAGCTCTTTTCCTGTCCAGATGCAAGAAAGAATTTTCAAAGAATTGTGAAATTGACCTTTGGTGTGGGGGAAAAAAAAGCATAACAAGATGATGAATCAAACACTGTGTTGCCTTTAGCATTTATTATAGAATATTATGTAAAGTGAACTAAAATTTTGTTAAATGCAAAATTGTCTTTAAGAACAGCATAATATATGCTTAGTTCTCTAAGATCACAGAATACGATAGTCAGGTGGCTGGCATTTTAGATAAATATGCAAAAACACGATGACGCAGAGAGGTAAGTAATTTGCCCCAGTCACATAGCAAATCAATGGCAGAATCAGAATTCAAATACAGTCCTT